ACCCGTTGGTCATATGTTTGTCTCTTGTCCTCTCGGAACCAAGCCTTCGCTAGGTTCTTGGCCCAAATCATAAAATTGCGGGCCCATTTCCCTGACTTCCCACTAAAGACTATCCGCCTTGACAATGCTGGTGAATTTACCTCACAAGCGTTTAATGACTACTGTATGGCCATGGGGGTAACCGTGGAACATCCTGTAGCACATGTCCATACTCAAAATGGATTGGCTGAATCATTCATTAAACGCATTCAATGGATAGCCCGACCATTACTCATGAGATCAAAGCTCCCGGCCTCAGCATGGGGACATGCAGTATTACATGCTGCTGAACTCATACGCATCCGGCCATCTAGTGAACACAAATATTCCCCATCCCAACTACTCTCGGGTCATGAGCCAGACATCTCCCATCTCAAAACATTTGGGTGTTCAGTATATGTACCCATTGCTCCACCACATCGAACCAAAATGGGACCTCAAAGAAGGATGAGAATATATGTTGGTTTTGACTCTCCCACCATCATAAGATATTTCGAGCCAACCACTGGAGATCTCTTCAAGGCCAGATATGCGGATTGCCAATTCGATGAATCGGTATATCCCTCTTTAGGTGGTGAGACAAACAAGCTGGTCAAAGATCTTTCATGGAATCAAACATCATTAAATTGGCAAGATCCTCGGACTCTAGAATGTGATTCAGAGATCCAAAAGATTATTCATTATCAAAAGCTAGCTAATCAATTGCCAGATTCCTTTGCTGACCCGACCAAAGTAACCAAATCGTACATCCCAGCTTGTAATGCACCAGTACGAATAGCTGTCCCAACGGGACAGACCCAAGTTGCTACAGAGTCTGCACCACGTCTCAAACGGGGCAGACCTCTCGGTTCCAAAGATAAGAATCCCCGGAAATCAAAGAAAGGTGCAATAACCGAAACCGGGATTCCTGCAATATCAGACATAGCCGCGGCTGAGAGTCAATCTAATGAACCCTCAATGGAAGTTCGGGACGCCGAATCTCCAGGTTCAGAAGATAACAATGAGATCTCCATCAATTACAATATGTCCGGAATACAATGGAATCGAAAAGAAGTCGACTTAAATGCACTCTTTGCATACAAAGTAGCACTTGATGTTGCGCTCACGCAAGAGGATCTAGAACCCACGTCAATAACACAGTGTACACATCGAACAGATTGGCTAAAATGGAAAGAAGCCATAAACGTGGAGTTAAAGAGTCTCAAACTCAGAAACGTGTTCGGTCCGATCATCCGGACCCCATCACACATCAAGCCAGTGGGCCACAAATGGGTCTTTGTGCGCAAAAGGAACGAACTCGGTGAAGTCGTTCGATACAAAGCACGGCTTGTAGCACAAGGATTCTCACAGAGACCCGGAATCGATTATGAGGAGACTTATTCTCCAGTGGTGGATGCAACAACATTCCGATTCCTCATAAGTCTGGCCATAAGAGAAAATCTTGATCTGCGGTTAATGGATGTTGTAACCGCATATCTCTATGGGCCCCTGGACAACGAAATATATATGAGACTCCCAGATGGCATTGAACTAAAAGACAAAAGCATCTCGAGATCAATACTGCATCAGGCTGAACAAATCCTTGTATGGACTGAAACAAAGTGGGCGTATGTGGTACCACCGCCTCAGCGATTACCTCATCAAAGAAGGCTACAAAAATGACCCCATCAGTCCATGCATCTTCATCAAGAAGTACTCAAACAAAGGATTTGTAATCATAGCAGTATACGTGGATGATCTAAACATCCTCGGAACATCTGGTGAGATCTCCCAAACAGTCGACTGCTTAAAAGCAGAATTCAAAATGAAAGACCTAGGCAAAACAAAGTACTGTTTGGGATTACAACTTGAGTACATCAAAGGAGGAATCCTTGTGCATCAATCGGCTTATATCGAAAAGGTACTCAAGCGATTTAATATGGACCAAGCTCACCCATTGACCAGCCCAATGGTAGTTAGAAGCTTAAGTGATGACCCTCTTGGTCCCAAAAAGGATGATGAAGAAATCCTTGGTCCTGAAAAGCCATACCTCAGTGCTGTAGGAGCGTTAATGTACCTGGCTAGTCACACTAGACCAGACATATGTTTCGCCGTGAACCTCCTCGCTCGATATAGTTCATCTCCAACTCAGAGGCACTGGAACGGTATAAAACATCTCCTAAGATACCTTCGAGGTACTCAAGACTTAGGACTCTTCTATACTAACCAAAATAAAGATGGGTTAGTCGGCTTCGCCGATGCAGGATATCTATCAGATCCGCACACTGCCAAGTCTCAAACTGGCTACGTTTTTACGCATGGAGGAACAGCCATCTCTTGGAGATCAATGAAGCAGACACTCACTGCCACTTCATCAAACCATGCTGAAATCCTAGCCATTCATGAGGCTAGTAGGGAATGCGTCTGGCTGCGCTCCATGACTCAGCACATCCGCAGAGATTGTGGTATGGACGAAGACACACAACCCACGGTGATGTATGAAGACAACGCGGCATGCATAGCTCAGCTCAAGGAAGGATATATCAAAGGAGATCAGACGAAGCACATTCTACCGAAGTTCTTCTCAACCTCAGACTGGCAGAAGGACGGCACTCTCAGCGTTCAGCAGGTCCGATCCAGTGAGAATTCAGCTGACCTCTTCACCAAATCATTGCCTACTTCAACACACCGGAAGCTCGTCAAATAGATAGGAATGTATAGACTTAGAGATCTGCAGTGATGCTACAATCAGGGGGAGTAATGCGTGTTGTACTCTTTTTCCTTCACCATGGTTTTGTCCCACTGGGTTTTTCCTGGTAAGGTTTTAATGAGGCAACATTCCCCAGCGCATTATCGAGATCCCGATTGAGTAGCTGACCCGGTTCACTCGTCCAAGGGGGAGTGTTATAACACATATCATATATGGACTCTTATACCGGCCCATTAGGCCCATCAGGGCATTGTACTTAACCTAGATTCCCTATGTACTCTATATATACATTCCAGTGATTAATAAAGTTTCTAAGTTTTCACAACAATTTTAAATTCATTTACATTCTCTTAAATTCTAGTATCCATTATCCCCTAAGTTATGTGCATTGCGTGACAATAAAACTACTCAATATAAGGAAAAAGACTAATTCGTACAAATTAATGCCGAGTGGTGAAGTGATAAATGATCAGTCAAACTTCATCAACTTTAGAAGATTAAAATTAATAACAAAAACAAATTAAAAAGTTAATGTTGGCCACTAAGCTTAACTATGATTATGAATCCCACCTTTTATTACTGCAAAACACTCAGACTGTTTATTACGAGACTACCCCTTATTTCTCTTTAAACGAAGTAGGCCTTTATGGTAATTTCAAGATTCACTCATTTGTTCACCGCATTGACTTGTGTGGACATATTTCAAAATTAAATCAAAAGCTATAAAGTATTCTTTAGAAAAACAAAAATTATTCTTTAGAGATGTGTGAACATATTAATTTAATACCAGAGAAAAATAAAGCACGCACTACTTCTTCTAGGTTCGCAGCTGTTTTTGTATGTTTTTTTCTTCCTAATTTTTTTTTTTTGCTGAGTTTTTTCATATTCCTTTTTATTGGAGTACCGCTTTCCACTAGCTCTGTAGTGCAGACTGTAATATTGGTCGAAAACAATATTACCGTTAAAATGCTTTAAAAAACATATCTAATTTTGGTGAGAGTCCTTTTGTTGTAATAGAAAGTGTCAAATTGTATAATTAAATCTTATTGAAAGATCATCAAAGACATTGGACGAGTCAAAATGTACATCGATTTTCTGTGCATTAGGCAAATTTGTTCCAATGTTTCAACTATCAATTACAATCATTGGGAAAAAAAATTAAACGAATTATAACTATCTATCTTGTTAATAAGCAAAATGTTCTCAGGAGCCTGTCAGGTCATTGAGAATTTTTTTCCAATGCTTCAGTCGATATGAATTGTAATAATAAATATATTTATCATACAATATGATAATATAGTATAATCCTAGACAAAACATACAAAAAATATAATAATGTAATCAAAATATTTTTGTTTCAAATTATATTTAAATATAATTTACATTGAAAAAAAAACTCGATCACTATAGATATATAATTTGTAAGGACATCTCTAAAAGTAACCTTAAATCTTCAAATATGAGGTTTTGTTCATTCCAAAAGCAACCTTAAAACCTCAAATTTGAGGTTTACAGTTTTTATTTATATTTTAGTCCTTATAATTATATATTTTATAAATAATTACTTTATTTTTTATGTTTATCATTTTAATCTAAACAATTCTGTTTATGTAAATTTATTTTATAATGTAATTTTTATTTTATTATAAAGTTTATAATGTAATTTTAGTAAATGATACTTTTAATATATTTTTTTGTTATTTATAAAGTTATATGATTTTTATTAATAATAATTAAAAGTAAGGACTATAATACAATATTTTAAATTTTGTGATAGACCATCAAACCTTAAACTTGAAGTTTGGCCAACCTCAAATTTGAAGTCCTATAATGTTTCAATTTTTTAGCAACTTTTTAGATTCGAAAGAGAGAAACTTTGAAAAATACCACTTAAAAATTTAGCAGAATTAATTGAACTAGAATTAACCAGTTTATCTGAATTATCCCATTTATAGTAGTAGCTGTTCATTTTTTTATAAAATTTTATCTGGTTTAACAACATTTGTATTTATAGAAACCAAATCTAACCACCGATCTAAAACATTGGACTTGGACTAGTCCGGAATTAAAATTCGTATTTTATCGGTAACATCCTTTTTTAAGTAATGTACAATTACTAATTTGAGATACATACATTCCTACAAGTAAAACATAAAGAAATATATATATAATTTAAAAAATATCACATCCATGCAGGCTAACGTTCAGTTGACTACCAGCAAATAAAGCAGATAATAAATTCTCCATTAATTATATTTCATTAAAACAAAAACCCCACACACACCTCTGTCTCTCTCTCTCTCCTTCCTCTCCCTCTTCTCTCTCTCCTCTTTCTCTGCAAAAACCCTAAATTTCCTCCGATTTCGCCTTCCTCATCTCCATTCCGGCCATATCTGGCCATACCAAGCAGAACCCAGAACCCAGTTTGGGATTTTTTCAATGATTGGAAGAAAGATAAGCCAAACGATGGAAACAAAACCCTAAAAACGAAGCTTTGATCTCTCCGAAATCGGAGTTTTGGAAAAATCGAGAGAGGAGGAAGAGAAGCTGTTTGTTTCGATTTTGAAGAAGAGCAAAATAATGTACAAGAATCAGCTACAGGAGCTTGCGCAGAGGAGCTGCTTCAATCTCCCTTCGTATACTTGTATAAGAGAAGGTCCAGACCACGCGCCGCGATTCAAGGCTACGGTTAACTTCAACGGCGAGATCTTCGAGAGTCCTCAGTACTGTTCTACTCTCCGTCAAGCTGAGCACTCTGCTGCTGAAGTCGCTCTCAATGCTCTCTCTAATCGTGGCCCTTCTCACTCTCTTGCCGCTAGGATCTTGGTTAGTTTCACCTTTCTCTTAGGACTTTCTCACTTCTTGCGTTATACTCTGAGCTTATGAGCTTTGGATTTTGGTCTTGTGTCAGAATCTGCATGTGAATTTTCAGAGTTTTAGTCTGTGGTTTAGGTTATTTGGGATTTTGGATGCTTTTAGATTAGTGAAATGATCTATTGATCTAGAGTTTGAGACCTTGTTCTTGGCCTCTGATTGATCAGGGACATTGAGTAGAGCATTGAACTACTCAGATTCTTCTTGTTTGCATGATTGATCATACTTGTCCCGGCTCTGTTTTGTGTAGGATGAGACGGGTGTGTACAAGAATCTGTTGCAAGAAATAGCTCAAAGAGTAGGAGCTCCATTACCGAGATACACTACCTTCAGGTCTGGTCTTGGCCACCAGCCCGTGTTCACTGGTACAGTGGAATTAGCTGGAATCACATTCACCGGAGATCCGGCTAAGAACAAGAAGCAAGCAGAGAAGAATGCTGCTATGGCTGCTTGGTCTTCCTTAAAACAATGTGAGTCAATTTGTTTCAATGGTTTTTATCCAAAATGTAACTCTCTGGCTCACAGTGCGCGACTTGTTTCGATCTTTTATTGTGCTTTTTCTAGTGGCAAAAGAGACTTCAAGTTCAATGCCTGAGCCTGAGAACATTGACGAGCTAGAACAAGTGATTATAGCAAGAGCCTTGATAAACTATCGTATCAAGGAAAACATCGGCATGGGAAGCTCCTCGAGTGGTCCGGTTCCATTTGCAAAGAAGTTTTTCATGCAGAACCCTAGACCAACAAGTCCACAGCCTTCCCCTGCAACCACATCAAGAATCTTACCTTTTATTTGCACAAAGCCTTCTTCAAGAACCAGATCCTTAGCAGCAACTTCCGTTGAAAGAGCCATGGAAAACCGTAGCTACAGGCCACAGCAGAGATTTGCAACTCCAGGAGGAACAGGAACAGGAACAGGAACAGCAGTTCCTCCTCCTTATGTTCCTATGATGAGGCATTTAAGATCGCAGTGTCACGGGATGGCTCCACCTGTCACGATCAGAACCTCTGTACCTGTATTCTCTGCACCTCCAATGCCTCCTCCTCCTACACAAGCTTCAAACACTACTCAGATACCTTCTGTGTATGTTCCATCGATGATGCGTGCTGCACCGGTCAGAATCGCTCCTCCTGTCACGATCAGAACCGCTGTTCCCGTTTTTGCTTCTGCTCCGCCGGTTAGAAAAGTGAATATCCAAACCCCTGTGACTCAAGTAGAAGAAACCCGGAAAAAGGAAGAGAGTGCTCTAGTTTTGCCTGATACTCTTGAAATCGGAGAAGAAAAAAGTGTTAAAACAACTTCAGAGAGTGAGAAGGAAACCGAGAGAGGAGCAGCATTAAAGGATACGAAAGGAGGAGAACCAGAGACGGCAAAAGAGCGGCTTGAGAATCTCAAAATCTGCTAAGAAAATTTCTCTGTGGTTTAGTTATTTTTTTGAGGGTTGGTTTCTGAAAGAATTTGTTACTTGTAGTAATCGTTATTATACTCGGTGGATCGAGTAGTTTGATGATAATGAGAAGGATTTGTAATATATTGGGAGATTTTAGGAGAAGATGGCACTGGCGAATTCTAGAGTTTGTATCTGTTTCACTTTCATATTCAGTTTGTTTGTGTCCTCTTCTTACCTTTTTGTCTCTCTTCTATACATCTCGTTGTTCCATCAGAATCAAATTCCTTTAATAACCACTTGCATATAAAGTTTAAACCATATGTGTTATAGTAACAATGGTAAAAGCTACAAGAACTGAAATTTTTTTTCAATAATAGATCCAAAAGCCGACGAATCTTGTTCAGTGTTCAACAAAATGAATAAGGTCGGTCTACAAAACAATTCCCAGTTTCCCGGTATTGGGGTTTGAATGAAGTTGGATCCAAAACCCCAAATAAGAAAGACGAAGAAGAAAAAAACAAGTCACTATACACCGAAAGAAACCCCACAAATTTTTAACACACCATGGAAACGCATCTTCTTCTATTCAGTCTTTTTGTTTCAACGGGATGCGAGAGACCAGAAGTTGAAGAGAAAAGAAGGTAAAGCAGCAAACCAGCTAATGAAGGCTAATGCTGTTGATGTTTCAAACTGAACACAGTGGTTTTGTGCGCAGCTATTCAGATCGTTGTCTATCAGAACCGTTATGCCTGCTGATGCACAAGCCGCTGCAAAAGTTAGCGTCGATGTCACCTGAAGATAGAAAAAAATTATGCTAAATATATACATCTTTTCTTATACGATTTTGATAAATTGAAAAGGATGGATGATTCATAGAGTGTGTGGTAATCTTCTCACCCCATCACCAATTGCAAACAAGCTCACAAGTCGACGGTTCTGTAGCGACCGTTTGACCATAATGGCATAGACATCAACTATTACTAGTGCAAGACTCCACAAGCTCTGCAGACCAGTAGCTGCAACTAGGTAGCTGATTAAGCAAAAAAAACAAAAACAGTAAACCGTCTTTAGCAAAATCTTATAGTCATCACACTTTGGTTTAATCATATAAAAGCATACAAATATAACCCAATATACTACCCATCACATTATGTCCAAAGCTTAAGAAAGGTTATCGAAGCATTCATGTCCATCGAATTCAAAAGCACTAGATTTCGAAAAGTCTATTACCAGAAGGCGGTAACGGAAGGGAAATCGCTAGTACTAGCCATGACACACAGTGCTGCAGCTGCAAACAAGAACTGGAAAAAACGAAGCGCAAGGCCGAGTAAAGTTCCAGGCATGCCTTCAATATCATCCATCCTCACACGAGGCGGATTATCCACTTCCGTAGCTGGAGGATCCTCCACAGGATGAACCGATGCATGGCTCACATTCATTTCTCTTCTCTCCTCCACCACTCAAACTCAACACATTTCTTCTCTCTTTACCAATGGATTGATTTACAAAATCTTACAATATAGCTGCTAATATCCACCTCCTGTAATGTAAATCATTCACCAGATAAAACCAAATTAGCTTCAATTCATACCAAAATTAATGATAATCAAAATTAATGCTATTAGGTTCTTCTCAGTAAACAGCTCAAGGAGAGATTAAAATGCTTCATGAATCAAATTATATTACCCGGAATCGATGGAAATGGAGAAACGTATATGTATGAATCAAATTAACGCTCTCGAGAAGCTTTCTCTAATTAAAAATTTGGCGAAAACCAACTAAACTAAAACTTTCGAATCCACTATTTTTACAGACTTAGAATCTAATTTAAGGTCTCGAAAGGCAGATTCTATGGTTTGATTTCAACTAGATTTGTTCAAAGAGAGAACGAGATCCAATAAAATGAGCAAGCAGATCGAGTGGCGCAAGGTAAGAGATTTGTGTGTGTTTGTGTTGTTACCTGAGAATCAAGCAGAGAGGAAGAAATCGCAGGAAGCCATGGAGCTTGAGTAGAGGAAAATAGGAAACCCTAAGCTGTTACGGGGAAGAAGAAGAAGAAGATCGTGGAAAAGTGAAGGTCTATGCGAGAGTGAGTCATTCGATCAGAAGGAGGAATATACCGAACTCGACGAAATTTGGCTTAACAATTAACCAAACGAAAACGTTATTAACCTTAATTAAACCCACCAAACCAAATCTTTATTTGTTTTTCTTAGGTATTTTATTTTAGATATTTAAAACTTTTGTCCTTACATTGCAATTTTTCAAAAAAATAAAAAATATCTGAGAAACACACCGATCCCATTCTCTCTTTCTCTCTTCTCTGGATCTCCAAAATCACCATTGACTGATCGATTTTCGCAGCTCCCACCCAAAATCGCCACTCTTCCATCGCCAGTATCTTGATTCCGCTTGCTTAGGGCTCTGAAATCTTTGGAGGATCTACCCACACTTTCCCTCCTTCCTCACCTCTCCATTTTCGCCACCATGTTCTGGAAGCTTGCGTCTCTCTCGGCATCGTCTCCTGTGAGTTTTTAAGAGGTTCCTTTACTTTTCTCAGTGTATCTAGTCTTGCCTTCTGCTTTTCCTTTCGAAAACACGATTTCTGTTGATCCTCCGTGATTAAGAAAGTTGGAATGTCTCTTCGTTTGCATTTTGTTGATTGTCTAGAAAGACGAGATTGACCTGAAATAGATTAGCTGTGAGGAAGGTTTCGGGGAAATTACTTGGAGAATTTATCGTTGTTTTGGATTGCGTTTTGTTGAAAACTTGTGTCACTGTTGCGATTTTTCAGCTGATTTTGTGGTGAAGAGAGATCCTATCTCGTGAGACATATTCTGTGAGTTGATGTTCTTACCTTTTGTTGCTAATGTAGGTGGAGTCGATACTAGACAAAGAGCATTTCACGTTGGAAGAGCTTCTTGACGAGGAAGAGATTATCCAAGAATGCAAAGCTTTGAATAGCCGACTCATAAATTTGTAGGGGCTTCATCTTGTATATCTTGCTGATTTCCTTGTAGTCAACAAAATAAAAATAAAAATCATTCGTATCTCTTGGTGTTTTGCAGTCTGAGGGATAAAGCTCAAGTGGAGCAACTGTTGCGGTATGTTGTTGAAGAACCTCAGGACGATGCTGATAGCAAACGTGCTTTCAAGTAATATGTGCTTCCATGGCCTTTCGTTTGTCCTGCATTTCTCCTTTAATTGTCTTTTCATTGCCCTTGCTTTTAGCTGTTGAATGTTTCTGGCAAGGCTTTATTTCCAGCTAGTGATGGATTCTTCTTCTTCCTCTCTTAGGTTTCCATTCATCTCTTGCGAGATTTTCACATGTGAAATTGATGTTATTCTTAAGACTTTGGTGGAGGATGAGAAGGTAATTTTTCATTCATTGTGTTACCTACATTATTTGGATATTTGATAAATTTAATCAATATAGCTGATCTCAGTTGTTGGGTCTAATATTATTTTGCAGCTGATGGATTTGCTATTCGCCTTCTTAGAACCGAATCGTCCTCATAGTGCGTTGCTGGCAGGCTATTTCGGCAAGGTCTCTTTTTTAGTGATAAGAAGTATGTGTAAAAGCCAACTGATTTTAGCGTCTGCCAGATGTGATCTTACATTTTCTCTGTTTGATTTAGGTTGTCATATGTCTTATGGTCAGAAAGACTGCAGCACTTATGAACTATATAAAAGTAAGTAATGCCACTTTATTGTAAAATTGCTTATAACATTTTTCTCTTTTCTCTTTCCTTATCAGCATTTAGATTATCTTTTTGCATTATTGCAAATCTTATTTCCCCATGATTTATATCTAATGGGAGTTCTGATTTGAAACTTAGATCAAGGAACAATTTTTTATAATTATTATTATGGAATTCTCTGAAATGATTCTTTCTAGCTAGTCAGTAGTTTTTTAGAACATACTCTTTATTGTAATCTTGAAACGATGGTTGTTTCTGTTGTAAGTACATTGTGATGAGATCAGTTTGATGTGACTAAATGGTTTAAATCAACTTTTGAAAATAGTCCATTTGAATCACCTTCCAATTGAGGTTTTATCGTCAAAATCTGGATTAATTTGAGATATTTGCACCGGCTATGTTTCTAAAGATTGCTTTTGATGATTTCAGGGGCATGAAAATTTTTTTAGCCAATTGGTTGATCTAATTGGAATTACATCCATTATGGAGGTAAATGGTTGTCTGAGACCCGGTGCAACTTGGTGTGACTTCATCGTTCATCTTTATAAATGAATTTCTTGTGACGTTGTGTAGGTTTTGGTTCGCTTGGTTGGGGCTGACGATCATGTCTATCCCAACTTTCTGGATGTGATGCAATACTTGGCTGATAGCGATTTACTTGAAATGATTGTGGACAAGCTAAATCCATCTGTAAGTAATAAAAGTTTAGATTGTTCCCAATAAAAAAAATGCTTTATTTTTGATAAATCTCGGCTGTCTATAATTTTAGTATAGTGCGAGGCTACCAAATGAAAAAGGTGGTTACAGGGATTTATCATTGTCATTGACAATATTGTCGTTACCATTTACAGTCTTTTTTTTATGCTCCCATTGTCTTACAATCTTCTGTGACTTGAATCAGAGTCCTCCTGAGGTTCAGGCAAATGCAGCAGAAACATTATGTGCAATCACTCGAAATGCGCCTTCAGCTTTAGCTACAAAACTCTCTAGCCATGGGTTTGTCACCTTTGCTTTCATAATTGAGTTTCACTGGTTGCGGATATATGCAATAGTCTGACATGGTAAAACTTCTATATTCTTTCTGCAGCTTTGTTTCTAGGATATTTGGTCATGCTATAGAAGATTCACATTCAAAATCTGGCCTAGTTCATTCACTTACTGTATGCATCTCTCTGTTAGATCCGAGGAGATCTGCTGTGTCATCGCCTTTCTTCAATTCTTATAGAGGTCAACATATGTTTGAGTCTCCTATACCAGTTACCCAGGAGACTATTGGTGCTATGCTACCTAAACTTGGTAAGCTGGTTTCCTGTAATATAATCTTCCCATGAAACAACATGATCTTTATTCTTCTTCGATTTTACTTTGTGCTAGATGCACATCAAGTTATCACACGGGCAATGCTCGCATTTTTGTGATTCCTTTTTCAGTTTCTGCTGACTAATGATTCTATTGTATCTATTTGGTCTGTTCCATTTTGATTTATGTGGATAATGAGAAATTGGGGAGTTCGTGAATTCCATGGTTGTTGGAATTCCTTCCCAGACTTCCTTGCATATGTAGGATTTATGTCTTATTGCAAGTTTTGTCAAATCAAGGTTTGTCTCTTCATAGTCCTCATATGAACAAGATTTTATGTCGTCTGCTGCAGGTGACATGCTTATGCTTCTCAGTGTAGCGTCTGACAGCAAAGTTTTACCAACATCGTATGGAGAGCTGAGGCCGCCTCTTGGAAAGCATCGTCTGAAGGTCAGATCCTAAATTTAAGCATTTCTGAGAAGGAATTGTAGACTTTGGGATGTGTACTGTGTTTTATATGGTAAATCTTTTATGAATGTTGGACTCAGTCTGATCATTTTTTCCAGATCGTAGAATTCTTTGCAGTTCTGTTGAAATCTGGAAATGAAGCTGCTGGTAAAGAATTAGCGAGCTCTGGAACAATTAAAAGGATCCTTGAACTATTTTTCGAGTAAGGTTTAACTAAACTTCGAACTCTTCATCTGGATGTTGCATTTTCCTTGAGATTTTAAATAACCAAATACTTTCAACTTATGAAGGTACCCATACAATAACGCTCTGCATCACCAAGTGGAGAGTATAATACTTTCTTGTTTGGAAAATAAGAGCGAAACAATGGTTAACCATATCCTTCAAGAATGCAATCTGATTTCCAAAATTCTTTCATCAGACAAAGACTCGGTTCTTTCCGGTGATAACCTGGTATACCATCTGCGTTTTTTCTTACAACGGATTTAAATGATTCTCGATATATGTTTTGCTATCATCTAAAAAAACTCAAATTAGAGCTGTAGTCTTCTTGTTCGGATGATCATTATTGAACAAATTCGTGTGCCACTTGTTCTCTGTGTTGTAGCCTACCGTGGTTGCCACTGGGAAAAAACCACCACGGGTTGGATATGTTGGACATATCACAAGACTGTTGAATAAACTTGTCCAGCTGAGTGATAGCAATGGCCTGATAAAGGCATCTCTTCAGGTTGGTATTACAACCAAACAATCTTCCGCAGTAATTTGTTCTTAAAATAGATTCATCAATTGCACGCATAAGGCTTTAGCGCAAGAGTGCTCTTCTTTCTACTTTTCGGCGTGTTGCTGACGAGACTTTATTCTCTCAAATCATTAGGAAAACAGTGAATGGAAGGAGTGGCAAAGTAGTGTTCTGCAGGAGCGCAACACTGTTGAGAATGTGTACAGATGGGCATGCGGGTACTTTCATTAAAATTTTCTCCCTTATCACTATATATAGTCACCAACAAATTTTCTGTCATTGCATACTTTCAGATGCTAATAGGATAGTTAGTTTAAACCCTCATAAAGATTGGTACATAATGATGGATGAATCTGGAGTCTTCTAATTCTTTTTCTGCACTATGCTCATGAGGACCTGCTAACTTAAAGTTCTCTATATAAGACGTATTGATGTGCTTGTATGGGAGTAGAGTTAATAGATCTCGTTTGGTCATAGTCAGTCTTATAACTTCTCCGTTCTCATGATGAGCAAACGAAGTAGTTTGCATTGTGACGTTATTTCACTTGATACATGATTTTAAAGCAATGTCGCATACAGGCGCCCAACTACAGTACAAGATAGAACAAGGGATAGCGACGAGGAAGACAGGGATTACGATGTTGCAGCTCTGGCCAATAATTTGAGCCAAGCATTTAACTATAGAATCTATGGAAACGACGATAATGAAGAGGTAATTTTTCTGCTTTTATAAACTGTTCTTCTATTTATGAAAACTATTTAACTCAACACAAACTAAGTCCTTTCGTTTTCTCTGGTTTCAGGACCAAAATACTCTTGACAGAGACGATAGTGTAAGTCCTTCACTCTTCCTTGTAAATCGAATTTAAGTACTTTTCTTATCATGTTTCACATTACTATGATAAAATGTAAAAGCCTGAAAGCATTTTCCCTCTCGGAAACAGTTTTATGATAAACTGATTTTGTCTTCAGGATGCTTACTTCGACGATGAATCTGCTGAGGTAGTGATTTCATCCTTGAGACTTGGTGATGACCAAGGAAGGTACGTTTTAATATCTTTTTTTTTGTTTCTGCTTAAACTTTCTTTCTTTGTTCTCATATCGGTTCTTTGACTCATATGTAATCTGAAATCATGATAACTATTTGCCGCAGTTTGCTCACAAACTCGAACTGGTTCTCATTCCAAGACGAGAGATTCAGCGACGCGACCTCAGACACAACGATCGAAGACGTGAACATGAACGGAAACTCAAGTGCCAACAATAGCAGCAGCAGTGACGATGAAGTTCTGGTCGGAGAAGAAGACGATGACTTAACCGACGAGAAACCGAATATCTCTGCCGAAACTTTATCAACATCAGACTCAACAACCATCAACGCATCAGAGAAGAACAACGATGAACCATCTGAAATGGAAGTCACTAGCTCCGGTCTAAACCCATTGATCATCGACGTACCAATGGTCGATGTCAAAACCGAACCGGTGATTCCAAACGGTTCTCCGGGTCAGAAATCGCCTCCGGCGGTGAGAGCGTTGTTCGAAGAGGATGTGGAGTTTGTTGGAGTGGAACCACAAGGGACAGAGAAAGCAATGGAGCAAGCTTTGAAAGAAGGAATCGTCGGTGAAGCTGGACCATTGAAGCGGAGTATCGTTCATAAAGTTGCGGAAAACGAAAACCAGGAGAAGGAGAATTCGGGAGTGGAAGAGTTTAACGATTCGAATTATTGGAGGGTTGATCAAGAAGTTACGGTTCTTGAGTAAAATATATAAAGGTATACAATAAAAACAACAATACAAAGAGAGAGCCTGAAGAAAGAAAGTCTGTTTTTTTTTTTTTATAGAGTTTTTGATGATGCTCTGTTTCTGTTTTTTTGTTTGTCTAATTATTATAAATTTTAAAATGTCTCAAACTTACTCGTTTGGCTATTATACTACTCTCTCCGTTTCACAAAAAGTGTTATTCTGACATTTTTTTTGTTTCAAAAAGAATGTCGTTTTAAAATTTTAATGTAATTTTTAACATAAAATATCATTTTTAACCTCAATAAATTTAGAAAATTAATTATAAATATGATTTCAAAAATTATTTTCTGCAAATTAATAAGGGTATAAGAGACATTTTATCTTATTTCTTAATTTGTGTGAAAAATGTCAGAACGACACTCTTTGTGAAACGGAAGGAGTACTTTGGAACATACATCTTCATCGTTCAGCTACATTATTCAGCGGATTACAGTTTTTTTATATATAAATACATTTCAATCGAAATTAGCTTTTAAAACTGAAACCGTTTATAATATGACAGTAATAACAAGGTCCTGATAATTGACAAAATAAAATAAAAGCAAACAACCAAGGTCCTGATTCAACTTTATATAATAAGAAGATTCCAAATAGCGATACAACAATTCAAGACGAATCGTCATTTGCTCTTTAGAAAATAAGTAAACATCCCACTTTGGTCACCTTTTTTTTTGAAGAAAAAAAATCTGATTTATATTAATTGTTAACACTTGATACACTTTTTTAATGACATTGTAGTTGTAGTTTCACCTCATGTTGCATGCCATCATTCCTTTTATTCCCACTCCTCTGCCCACTCCGAATAATTTTATTTAACTTAGCAATTTTCTCTGTTATGGTTGGAATATATCGTCATAAACACTTTCTTTTAACATCTTTTTGTTTTCGAATTTTTTTGTTTTGTTTGCAGAGTTAGTCTTCAATAATATCGTATAATACATGTAGCCAATTAAAAACAAATTTTGAAAATAAATCGTGATTGGCTCAGCAGAAAAAAGATAAAAATTTGCATGACCGGCTCAAGAAAAACTAATCAGCATGAAGAGGAATGGAAGCAAAACAAATAAATGGAAGCAAAAGAATCAATTTAAATTAATATTCCTTCTGTTTAGAATTATTTGATGTTATAGAAGATTTTTTTCGTTCATAATTATTTGATGTTTTTACTTTTTAATATAAAATTCAATAAATTTTTATTGTTTTTTATTTTTATATTTAAAAAAAATATTTTATTGGCTGAATTATATTTAAATAAATTATAAATAATATTTTTAATATAAAAAGAATAAAAATTAAATAAATTTTTAATATGTATGCAAAACTTTAAACATCAAATAATTTAAACAGAAAAAATATTACTTTATAGACCAGTCGTAGTTAAATTTTTGTATTTAATATTTCCATTTTATTTGTGTACATCTAAGAATTTTTTTGTCTTTTATAACTTCTATTAAAAGTATTTAAATAATCGTCATCCAAAAATTGGAGCTTATATGGGAAAAAAAAAACTCTTCCTACAGTTTTTACCAATTGGCCTATTACAACACACGATACGATATATTCACTCAAACGGGATTTAAAATACGAGAAACTAAAGTTAGAAAATATCGTTGACCAAACCCAACTAGCTTGCCCGCAAAATCTTTCGACAAACCGGTAAAAGCGGATCAAGAGATGAATGAGAGAATCTCCATCGAACGATTCACACAAATGTAGAATCTACCGTACACGTGGCACAGAATCGGCGACACTCACGCATACACGTAACTGCCATGTCAACCTAACAAGACCGGTTTAGACGCTCCACACCAAAAAAAGAAAAGAAAAAAAAAACAATAAACAAAACACATATGTGGGTCCTACCGCACGAACGCGACGTCTGTGCAACATTATCAAAGATCTCTGTCTCTTTCGCTTTTGTTTCAATCTTTACTTTTTTTTTTTAATTATCTTATTATGTTGTTTCTACCATGAACCAAAAAATATTTTCAGATCTAAAGTTTAGTTTACAGGGTTTGGAATTCAATTTATTAGTTTAGAGTTTATGAATTCGGATTTACGATTCATTAATTTTTAAATTTAAAGTTTAGTTTTAAAATGTTGTTATTAATTTTGATCTAGAATATGGCTTCTTTAAGATAACCTACTATATCGCCGTGATAATTCTTTCATTTAGTTTTATATTTCACATGTGGTTAATAAGTACTTCACTACGACCGATCCTATATTCTTCTAACTTTATCTTTGAAATTGAAAAATCCAAGTTTATAACGATCAAACAATAACTATTGCATGTTGACAAAGAAAAAAAAAAGAATAATTAAGTGTGTATCCACAAAATCACCAACCAGATACTGTATGAAAGTAGAAGAAGTCACCAACCGAATTATGTATGTTAAATAATTTAAATGGTTGGTGAATTTGATGTTATTGACAGAGACTCGAAATGTTTTTTTTTCTAATACTGTAATGATAATTGGTCTTGGATCTTGTGTGAGTGCTTTCTTTCTGTCTACACTTTGGTTAATTAAATATATATAATTAACATTTGTCATTAACAGAGTTTGCTGGGTTCGCCACCCTATGTGTCTACATTTTTGACTCATTCAATTGTTCTAGTTTTCAATGTCTTAATTAACTATTCGGGACCATCTGATCTATCGGGACCTTAACCAATTAATGAATCATTAATCATGATTTTAATGTGTGTGAAACATGTAAGTAGTTTTGAACAAACTTTTCGCACTTTTTTACTGTGAAAGAACAGAAAATTCGATCGGCCTAACTAACCTTTTAAGCATGTATTCTTATGATAATACTTTCTCCGTTTCATAAAGAGTGTCGTTTTAAGATTTTATTTTTGTTTCACAAAGAGTGTCGTTTTATATTTTCAATGCAGAATTTTAAATAATTTTCCAGTTTTGACCCTATTGATTTAATGTATTAATTAGAGAAAAAAATTTATTTAATGCATTAATAAAGAGTAAAGTAGTATTTTTAATAATTTTATTAATAAGTATGAAAAATGTCAGAATGACACTTTTTGTGAAACGGAAGGAGTAGTAAAACCAACTAATATATCCAGTTAAAATAGTTATTGAAATAGATGATAAATCTACTTATTAATATACTTATACTAAAAAAAACACATATATTATTATTATGTTTATAAAAAGAAAAACATTAGTAATTAGATAAAAGTATTTACCAAAGGTTAAAATTCAGATAATTTTCTTACATCATATTTTTTTTAATATATCTAAATATTAATGTTTCAAAATATAATCCAATGATCCAATCTCGCTGTTCAATTTCTTGTTATTTTCTATAAATAAATGGATAAGCCTTTAACAAAAAGTAAATAAATGGATAAGCCTAAGAATACATATAATATACATACTTTTTAAAAAAAACTATCATACATAAATTTAGTATTATCCTAATGAATTGAAGTAAAAACAAAACAGATCCCACGGCAATCGGATTGGAACTGAAAGAGAAGAGAGCAAAATAAGGGAACTTGTTTTGTTTGATTCGAAAAACTTCGCCCTTTGTTGTCTTTTCTGCTAATGTATTTCTTCTTCGTCACTATTCTCCATGTATGTTTTGACCATTTGACTTCTTCAAATATCAGTGTAATTTTATTTATTATGTCACCAGTTTATTGTACTGGCTAATATCTAATTCCTCAGCAATGCCGGGTCAATCCATTTGGATACCCGCGTCTAACTTTTTTAAATATATTTTTTTATATTTTAAAAAGAAATTAAAATTAAAATAAAATGAAACAAAAACTTTATAAAACAATCAAACTTCATAAACGGTTTATAAGAAAAGAAAAAAATCTAATAAACATATAGTTTTTTTTAAATATAGATATTTTTGCATTTTTCCATGTAAAATCGTTCATTAAACTGTTGTAGTCGAGTTTTTTAAATATATCTGTCTCAATTAATAACAAAGCTAATCCATTTTGTTGTTTCTGGTGATAAAGATAACTAAAATGACCTTACTAAAATGAGCTGAGAAATGTAACTGAGCATAGGTGGACGTGGATTCACTGAGCATAGGTGGACGTAGATTCACTTTTAGGCATGTGAATTTCATTAAAATGAGAAGGTTTGCAAATACTTACAAAATAGCTGAACAAGATAGGAGGACCCTTGGCAAAAAATAATATAAAAAAACAAGAAAGTATGAAGTTCGTTCTCAAACTGAAGTGCTTGTGCTTCTTTGTTGTCATGGAAATGGGTATGCATAAATATTACGTGAAGTGGATTTGGCTTTCAAAATCATGTCGAGTAAATCATCAGACATTGTGCCATAGATCCATATCTTTACCAAGCCCTCACGTTCTTTCTATTGTGGGTCATGTTCTTTTACATGACGCTGTCTCTCAATGGCTGGTGGTTGAATCTCCTAATCATCAAGGTCCGACCACACCAAAGCTGATACAGTACATTTTAGAGATATTCGCTCACCATCCATGTGTTATATTTAGCTTGTCCAAGTCGAGAATGATCATTGTAAGAAGAAAGGATGAAGGTGAGAGTAGAGAAGATTAAAGGAGGCAACTGCGAAGGAAATGCAACAATCAGAAAAGAAAGAAAGAGTGCAAAGAGTTATCATGCCCTAGCGGTTGTATAGTTGTACTTAGGTTTTTAGTTACGTCTCTGATACTATCTAAAATTATTTAGAAGAAAACAAATTCTTAAATAGGTATAAAATTATTTAAAACCAATTCTTATATAGGTAAAAGAGGCCTAAGTTCCAAATACATATGTCAAAAAAAAGCTTTAGATGTCATTTTATAATATCAATATAAATATTTTTTTTGGTCTCGCTTGTTTGTTTTTCTTTGTGTTGTATATACAGAAAATCGGAAAGTTTTCAACTTATTATTATTTTATTTTCAGATTTGTGATTTTATGGCAGAAATAAATATGATATATATTTTAATTTATAAAAGTTTTTGATTTTTTTTTTAGAAATCCACAAATTGGAATGAATTTTATTGGAATATTCACAATTTCTAAACGTCTCAGACTTAAAGCAAATGCTTCAAGGTGCTTTCACTAAAAGCATATTTGACTTGGGATCACTCTCTGATCTAAGTCCAAAAATCAACCATTTCTTTCCTTGAACTATAACCTTTTGCACATCTGATGATTACACTGATGAGCTATATATATAGTTGTCACTTGTCATACGTACATCTTCATCAGTAGTAAGGTAAATTAACTTAGGCACCACAAAGACAAATCTCGTCCGAGATGTGGAGTAACATTTTACCTTCTACTAGAACTAAGTTCTCACCACTTTCCTATGAACATTACCAACGATTCTCCTTAAGTTTTTTAGATAGGATCGAGAGAACTTTTAAAGATATCAGAAATCTAAGCCACCATTTTCTTTTTATTTTGCATCCTGGTTTTCAACAATAACCGTTGGTAAAAAATTTCTATACACCAATAACAATAAATCAAATGTCCTTTTTTTTTTTTGTCAAAACCAAATGTCCTTTAACAAACAAAATACTATAATTACATGTTTAAAAAATATTTAATTTGTTTATTTTTATTTCTAATTTTGCGTGATCTAGATCAGCAACAGTAGATTTAGGATTAGAATATGGTCCAACCACAGCCAACTTAACCCGTTCGACTAAACCTTAAATGATTTGAAAGGGAAAAGATTGGTCCATCAAATTTTCGACTAGACTTGGCACCAGATTTGAGGGACCTTTGATTCAACTTGTTTTGCAAAAACGGTTGTAATCCCTGTTTCATAAAACGTATAACCACTCAACAATACAAACGGTTGTAATCCCTGTTTCCTAAAACGTATGCTACTTTTGTGATTCCCAAATCCATTTTAAGTAACTACTCAATTGTGATTCCTCTATGCCGAATCCATTCAATCTGAGTAACCACGTTCACAAGATCTTCTTCGTTCATTGACAACTTGAGTTCTCGCCGCCAATAGCTATTGGCAAGAAAATGTGTTTTTAAGAGGGGAAAAAAAAAGCTACTCATAATAATGTTGAATTAGTAGAGAGAAAGAGAGAGAGGGCACAAGCACCAAAACGGCGGCAGAAATGGGACCGCACGTGAGATGGACCTAGACAGTGTCATGTTGCGGGACCCAGTGGCTAATCTGTGTTCGAACTCATGACTTTTGCTTTGACTTTTTCGACAACTTCGCTGGGACAGTCAAGTTTTTGCTGTCATGTTTTCCGCATTCCAGATCCCTATGCCTTTTATTTTCTAATTGTTTTTTTAACCTTATTTTTATTCGCATAATTAAACTTATAAACAAAAACAATAAAACTTATAACATTGGCACTTTCTTGTTTTCTTCTACTTATGTTGTCTCAGCGAATTGAACTGTAAAATAACGATCAAAAGAAGAGTATTGTTTGAATTAGATATCCAGCCATCGAGATTTGGTAAGAACTGAATAAAAGAAAAAGAGAATTGATCAAGATTAAAACATTATCCCATGGAACATTGTATAAATTTTAATCATCTGTCGATTTTTAAAGATTCAATTTCTTGATCTCAGCAAAAAGTTATAAACATACGTACGTGTGTGTGTAACACTGTTGAATAAAATATTTGTGGTTCATTTTCAAAGCAACTAACTTTAAGTACAATTGAAGGTATCTTAAACCAAATATTTAATAGATCTTCCTTTGCTGTTCATTCAACTAATTAAATATGGAGTGCGGGGAGACCAAATTATGAAATTCATGTAGATCCGACTGACAATAAATCTTATGTTTAATTTAATTCTTTTTTTTCCTTGCAGGAAAATTCCGTTGGATTGGATCACATATCTCTTTGAAAAATTCATATGTGAGTTTTATCTTACAAGAACATTTGAAAAACAAATTAAAAATAGGCTACAATTTAAGGAAGCTTTGAAATACAATAACTTTGTTAACAGTAGCACAGTAACACACACAAAAAATGCTAACCGTATCACAAAAAGTTAGCTAACTAGAAAAAAGTTGTTTCATAAAAATCAGTTTTCAAGATTTGATATTACAAGGTACCACATGTATAAATAAGCTTTTCGTCATGAATCAATAACAAGCCAATTTAACAGAAAAATAATTTCTATTAAACAAAATGCCATAGCCATTTTACACACATTTTGCTTATAATAGTATCCTCTTCAAACAAATTAAGCTTATGTTAGGTATTCCCAAATGATATGGCAGGTTCTTTGATTAACATATACAACTTACAAACCCAAACAAATAACTCAAATACCAATTTGAGGAATTTCTTGAAACTTGGAAATAGTTTGTTCCACGCAGAAGATTAGAACCCAAAATACAAGCAAAAAAAAAGAGATAAAATAGGGAAAAAGAGATTAGAAGACAAGAAAATAAAACTAGTATCAAAACAAAGGCCATTCAATGCTTCAGGCGAAGATGCTGAGAGGACCGGTCTTAGTAGAAGAGTCTATACCATTTTCACCATTCCTAATCCCGGTTATCCACGTCCTGCGCATAAACCAGAAACCAAACCGAAAATTGGTATTCCAATCACTACATAAAACAAAACCGAAATATGCTTAGAGACTTGAGGGAGACTTACTTTCTCACATTGTCACCACCAATGTCCATCTTAATCGTTAGCCGCTTCGTCGCTCTCATAAAATCACTGCATTTTTAAAAACATACAATTTAATCAATGAGAGAAAATCGAAAAACTAACCGTTAAAGCTCAAATAATAGTTCTTTTGAGATATATACCTGAAAGGTTCGTCTCCAATGCGTTTGATAACACCATTTGCATCCCGGTACACAACATGGGTCAACAAATCAGACCTCTCTTCTATACAAAACATCTCAGCTAATTTCCGGTATAGCTCTTGGTACGAACCAATAACCGAGAGATCAAGCGTGCGTCCAACATCCTCAGATTCCATGAAAACTTTACAATGACCGGTCTCGAGTCCTTGCAAACCGTAATTCCATGAACCAGTTTTCTCCTCCTGCGCCGCTTCCGCCTCTTCTTCCAAAGACCGTTTCCGGTTCATAACTTGCTGTTCAGTCAAAATAGGTTGACCAAACAGCAAGAACTGATGAGTCTTAACCGAACCGGACTTCTTCTTGTCATGAACTAAACCAGGATTCCCCATCGTCAAAGAACAAGAAATGTTGTTGTTGTTGTTAAACTCTGTATCCCGACCCTGACGAGACAAAACAATGTTATCGTAATGATGATGCCTCGGGTTAAAACCGGAGAGAAACATCGCCGGAGAAGAAGATTGGTGTAACTTGTTAACAGCAGAGTAACTATTGAGATTGTTGAGATCAGACAACAAAGACGGAGATGGTGATCCGAAGAGTTGTTGAGCTTGCCTGGCTCCCTGTATCCCTGCAGGAGCATTGTTGTTGTTGTCGTTTGACAGATAACACATTGATTCGCCATTGTTATTGGCGAAAAACGGGAACTTTGTACCGTCGAATGGGAACTCGAAAGGCTGTGGAATCCTCAGCTTCTTTCTTGGTGAGAAAGGAGAGAGATGGATTGTTGGCATGTTCGATACCAATTCCACTAGCCATGGGCTTACGCGTTTCACGTTTTGCAACAAATCCGGTTCGTCCCAAGCTACCTATGTATATAACAACCATTAAACCGCAAATTTGTAAACGCGGGTTTTTGTAAAGGAGGAAACTTTTTTGATTTGAAAACGCGGGTTTTTGTAAAAGAGGAAACTTTTTTGAGCGTTTAGAAAACGCGGGTTTTTGTAAAGGAAGAGACTTTTTTTTAGCGTTTTGAAAACGCGGGTTTTTGTAAAGGAAGAGACTTTTTGGAGCGTTTTGCAAACGCGGGTTTTTGTAAAGGAAGAGACTTTTTTTGTGTTGGGTTTTGTGGTGGCTAACCTGAAGGAGACGCCAAGGGGAATTAGGCCAACGAATTGGATCAGCGACTTGAACGGCGGAGACGGTTCCCATGAACCAACTGATTCTTGAAGAATCCTCTGTTTCAAACGCCATTTTAAAACGCATGCCACTACACCATCTTATCCTCATTGCTGATCTCACATCGGAAGCTTTCACGCAAAACTCCGGCGTGCTAGCTCTAGGGTAGTAAACCACCTCGAAAGCTTGTCCACGCGCCGCACGCGCCACCGCTTCCGCCACTGCCTCGACTCTAACCCTCCCTCCTCCCGCCGCCGCGTTCGCGTCGTTCCCGTTTCCGCCGCTGCGTTTCATCATCATCAGCTTCGAGGTTGTTGTCTCGTCGTCGCGGAGGAAACCGGAGAATCCAGGGTAAGGAATGTTATTGTTGTCGGATCCTACGCCGTTAGATCCGAGACCTCCGCGTTTAGCGCGGCGGATCCCGACGCAGAGGTCGCCGGATTCGGAGCGGAGGAAGACGATTGAGTCGCCGGCGATTAATTTCTTCTGGTTGACGAAAGTGCTCCAACCGGTGGTCAAGAGATGACGGCGAGGCGTTCCTCTGTAGATATGCCGGAATTTCCATGTCTCGCCGTGGATATCTTTGGCGATTACGGTCTGTACCGGTGGCTCCGCCGTGTAATCAAGCCGCGGGAAAATCGTCTCGGCGCAGTAACGCGGGACGGAGAAACCGCCGCCGTTATTAGCGTCGGATTGCGTCAGCGTTTTGGCGAAAGACGCCGGTTTCTCGTTACCGTTAGGTCCGTTACCGTCAGGAGACGGAGTTAGACCGAGAACGGCGTCGTTTTCTAGATCCAGGTCGTTTCCCGGGAGTGGCAGGAGCGTAATTTTGGAGAAGACCTCGTCCGTTTCTGCGTCGGCGAGGAACTTAACGGCGACGACGCGGCAGAGGATCAAAGGAGGGACGCGCGGCGCGTGGAAATCGGGAGGCGCGTGAGCGTGTTCGGTGTGGCCTTGAGCGAAGTAGAAGACCGTTGAATTCACTGAAGGGATTTGTACCATTGATCCTGCACAAGCATGCCATAGTTGTGGATCCAAGCTTTTCTCTTGCTCCATTTTCTTTTTTTCTTTACTGCTAAGAAAAAAACAGAGCAAAAAGATTCAAAATTCAGTTTTGTGAAAATGAGGGAAGACGAAGAAAGAAATATAATAATCCCAATAATTTTGTTCCTTACTGATTAAAAAAAAATTAATCCTTTCGTCTTCTTTTTTCGGACAAGAGAATTTAAAGTTTCTTCAATGCATGAAGATACTGAAACCAGAGAAGAAGCAAACACAAGAAGAAGAAGAAGAAGATGAGAGAGAAGAGGAAGACAAAAAAACCGTTCCAGGGGAAAAAAGAGGGAAGTGAAAGAGACAGAGAGAGATAGAGATTAATGGTTTTAGTGATAAATTTGCAGAGAAACAGTAAAGCTTCTTTCTTTCACTTCAAAAGAGGTATCATAGTGAAGGGAGAAAAAGCTTTAATGGCCGATCAGATCGCAGAAGAGCAATAATCAGGTACGGACAAGACCACAGTAATAATAATTAAACAGTTTTTTTTCTTTTGTTTCCTTCTAAAATATTAATGAATGTATAAGAACAAGAACCAAAACAACCCGAGAGATTATCTCAACACAAACTTTTTAAACTATCTTTTTTAACTTTATAAATTTTAAATTCGAACTTATATTTTATTAGTATCAAAATATATATTGCAACTAACTTGTTTGTTTCATTGCTCAGTAATCAGGTCCAGAACAAGTGAGTTATATAAAATTAGCAATTTATCGTATCACGAGATTATAAGTTTTTTACCCACGATATATTTATTACCAACAAATTCTACTCTAAAAAAATCATATACAAACCTACCCCTGGTTAAACCATTTACCTATCCTCTGTTTATTTTTTTAAAACTTTTTGGTTTTACCCATCTCAACGATGAATCCAAAATGCGATTGAGTCTACAAAATGTTAAATCCATGGTAAAATGAATAGTTCATATTACCTACACTGGGGTAAAATTTTAGGTAAAGAGTTCAACTGATAAATGGTTAAAAACTTGCATACAAAATTAGGAAATGGTAATTGGTAGACATCTAATTATAACTAGCAACTAGCAAACAGGATAAAGTAAATATTTTGTCATTTTTATTTTTATTAAACTGTTAAGACAATTCTTTTAATCATCAAATTGACTCCCTTCTAAATTGTGAAACAGATATCTTTTAACATAATTTGATAAATTTCTACAAAAAAAAAGAACATGTTACAAGAAAAAAATTACTTGTACCTTAATAAAATGTTAAGTCAAAAAAAAATTTAACCAAGAATCTCTATTAGTAGTTGTCTTAATGACGTCATAAATAGGAATATAACGTACGTGGTGCATCGAGTAAGGCGAGGGGTTGACCCGCAGATGCATACGCGACTGTTAAAACGGATTTTTGAGTTGTACTCGTTCGTTTGTTTTGTCGGGCTTACATCAGCCAATTATAACCTGACACGACATGCCCCAGCTCAAATATTGATCCTTTTTTTTTACTAGTATCTTTTGTTTTTCTTTTTTTTTAATTTACCAACAAAATATTACTCAAAACATTTGAAAACATTGAGTGTAGATAGCCAAGGTTTCTGTTTTAGTTTTTGCCCCATTTTTTTGTTTAAAATTCAAAAACTCTAGTCAAGTATTTCAATTATTTACAAGAGTTAATTAATTCAATACCAATGGATAACTAAAAATTTAACTAAACACAATGGATAACTAAAAAATTAAATATATAGGAAAGAGAAAACAAAAAACAACAAAAAAATCCTTCTTCTATTGCATATTTACACAAATGCCATTTATCTGAGATTTTTGTTTTCCGACAAGATATGTCGGTAATACTGTTCATCACTAGCTTCTGATGATACTATTCATCATTTTTTTTTATCGACATATATTGTTTATCATCAAAAAATTATATACATTTTGAAAATATGATGGTTAACTATTCGTTTAACATGATAACTAGTATATCACGATAAATTTATATAATTGACATGATAACAATTATATATACATATGATATAGAATAATACAACAACGAGCTTACATTTAGATAAGATGTTAACTTTTAATAAATAACTATTTGTTAACATGTTAACACTAATATCTGATACCTATAACATGTTAACAATAATATATGAGATTTGTTAACGTGATAACAATAAGATATGAGGCTTAATTATTAAGGTGTTAACAATATTATTTGTTATTTGTTAACGTGCTAACAAATAATATATGATATTTTGTAACATGCTAACAATAAAATTAATACATGTTAACGTGGTAATAAAAATATTTTTTGCTAATAACAAAAACCAATACTTTATAACGATACGGTGACCATCGTACCATCACCAATGTCACCGGTACTGCACCATCACCATCGTCTACCAGCATAACCAACATGATGGTGGAGTCATGTTTGTCGCCGTTGTTTCATTACAGTCGCCGTCGTTATAGCCGTTACCACTTTACTATTGTTTTCATTGTCAATATCACCAATTTATACTTCAACCTTCCCCATCCTCCATCGTCCTTCTTCTTCTTTCCTTTCTTCTTTTTTTTTCTCATTTTCTTTCCTCGGAAAATAATTGAAGGAAGAGAAAATGAGATATGTAATTAAATAAAAAAGAAAAGGGTTAAATGGGATTTTCCACATGAACAATGAATGACAAACAGTGTTTAGGAGAGAAAACTAATTATTATTAAGGGAAAAACTCTTATCTTATTGTTTCCACAAGCAGTGTATATATACATTACATAACTAATGTATCAGAAACCCTAATGGGCCATGAGACATTAACCTGATGGTTAATGGGCCGGTTACTAGAAATCCATTTGTTTATAACACTCCCCCTTGGACAAGGTAACCGTTCCTGTCACAAAATCGGGATCTCTATAATGCGCTGGGGAACGTTGCCTCATTAAAACCTTACCAGGAAAACCCAGTGGGAAAAACCATGGTGAAGGAAAAAGAGTACAACACGCATTACTCCCCCTGGTTTAGGCATCATTGTAGATCTCTAAGTCTACGCATTCCTATCTGATGAATGAGCTTCCGGAGTGTAGAAGTCGGTAATGATTTAGTGAATAGATCGGCTGAATTTTTGCTTGATCGGACTTGCTGAACCTTGACCTGACCATCCTTCTGTAGCTCATGAGTGAAGAAGAATTTGGGCAGAATATGCTTCGTCCGGTCACCTTTGATGTAGCCGTCCTTGAGTTGAGCGATACAAGCTGCATTGTCTTCATACATCACCGTAGGCTCCTTATCTTCGTCCATACCACAATCTGATCGGATATGCTGAGTCATGGACCGCAACCAAACACACTCTCTACAGCTTCGTGAATGGCCAAGATTTCCGCATGGTTGGATGAGGTAGCGGCAATAGTCTGCTTCATGGATCTCCAAGATATGGCTGTTCCTCCATGCGTGAAAACATAACCGGTTTGAGACCGGGCACAGTGCGGATCTGACAAATATCCTGCATCAGCAAAACCAACTAGACCATCCTTGTTATGGTTAGAATAAAATAATCCCAAGTCCTTAGTACCTTGAAGGTATCTAAGGATGTGCTTAATACCGTTCCAGTGCCTTTGAGTTGGACACGAACTAAAGCGAGCTAAGAGGCTCACGGCAAAGCAGATGTCTGGTCTAGTGTGACTAGCCAAGTACATTAATGCTCCTATGGCACTGAGGTATGGCATTTCAGGACCGAGGATTTCTTCATCGTCCTTCTTTGGACCGAATGGATCACTATCCAATCCAAGGCTCCTCACAACCATTGGGCTGGTCAATAGGTGGGCCTGGTCCATATGAATCTCTGAGTACCTTTTCAGTGTATGCCAATTGATGCACAAGGATCCGTCATGACGTACTCAAGTGTAATCCCAAACAGATTTAGTTTTGCCTAGGTCTTTCATTTCAAACTCTGCTTTTAAGCATTCAACTGTTTGGGCGATTTCACCAGATGTTCCGAGGATGTTCAAGTCATCCACGTATACTGCTATGATTACAAATCCATTGTTTTGATATTTTCTGATGAAGATACATGGACTGATCGGATCGTTTTCGTAGCCTTCTCTGGTGAGATATTCGCTTAACCAGTTATACCACATACGTCCGCTTTGTTTCAGTCCATATAAGGATTTGTTCAGCCTAATGCAGTGTTTATCACGAGATGCATGCTTATCTTTGAGCTCAATACCATCTGGTAATCTCATATAGATTTCACTGTCCAGTAGTCCATAAAGATATGTGGTTACAACATCCATTAACCGCAAATCTAAGTTTTCTCTTATGGCCAGACTTATGAGGAATCAAAATGTAGTTGCATCCACCACTGGAGAATAAGTCTCCTCATAATCGATTCCGGGTCTCTGTGAGAATCCTTGTGCTACAAGGCGTGCCTTGTATCTAACGACTTCGCCGAGTTCGTTTCTTTTACGCACAAAGACCCATTTGTTTCCCACTGGTTTAACATCGAATGGTGTCCTTAAGATCGGACCAAACACATTCCGTTTCTTTAAACTATTCAACTCCACGTTTATGGCTTCTTTCCATTTCAGCCAATCTGATCTACGAGTGCACTCAATTATAGACGTGGGTTCTAGATCCTCTTGCGTGTGCGCAATCTCAAGTGCTACCTTGTATGCAAAAGTTTCATTGATGTCGACATCTTTTCTGTTCCATAGAGAACCGAATATGATAAAATTGATTGAGATCTCATTATTATCAATCCCTTCAGAACCTTGAGTTTTGGCGTCCCAAACCTCTTGAGATGGTTCGATAGGGTAAGTATCAGCTGAGGCTGTATCCGTGTTCTCTTGAATCCCGGTTTCAATCATTGCACCTTTCTTTGATTTCCGGGGATTCTTATCTTTGGAACCTGGTGGTCTGCCACGTTTCTTACGTGCGTCAGACTCTGTAGCAACTTGACTTTTCCCTGAGGGGACATCTATTCGTACTGGTGCATTACAAGCTGGTATGTACGATTTGGTAACTTTGTTCGGGTCAGCAAAGGAATCTGGCAATTGATTAGCTAGCTTTTGTAAATGTATAATTCTTTGGACTTCTGAATCACATTCTAGAGTCCGAGGATCTTGTCATTGTGTGGATGTTTGATTCCATGAAAGTTCTTTTACCAGCTTGTCTGTCTCACCACCTAATCTAGGATATACCGATTCATCAAATCGGCAATCTGCATATCTGGCTTTAAACAGATCTCCTGTAGTTGGCTCGAGATATTTTATAATGGTGGGAGAATCAAAACCAACATATATTCCCATCCTCCTTTGAGGTCCCATTTTAGTCCTCTGTGGTGGTGCAATGGGTACATAGACTGAACACCCAAATGTTTTAATATGGGAGACGTCTGGCTCATGA